CACACACACACACACACACACACACACACACACACACACACACACACACACACACACACACACACACACACAGAGCTTACCTAAGAAGACGGACTGATGTTGTACGAACACTAAGGACTTCATCAACTTTTTTGTGGATGTAATTGCAATCAAAGCGCATCCAACCCTGGCCATAAAAGCAGCCACATTCCCAAATACAACCATAATGACTAGGTGTTCTAATCGGGGCAGACAGGTCACCACTGCATTTACCTAGATAAAATACAACCATAATGACTAGGTGTTCTAATTGGGGCAGACGGGTCACCACTGCATTTAAGTAGATAAAACTCGTTGGTACATAAGCTTCATCTCCGCCACCCGCCACATTACAGCACACAGCTTACTCGAGAAGACAGACTGGTAGCGTACTGACACTAAGGACTTCATCAATTTATCTGTGGATGTAATTGCAATCAAAGCGCATCCAACCCTTGCTGTAAAAATGGCTGAAGTCCCAAATACAGCCATAATGACCAAGAGTTCTAATCGGGTGCAAACGGGTCACCACCGCATTTACTTGGATAAAACTCATGGGTACATAAGCTTCATCTTTGCCACCCACCACATTACAATACACAGCTTACCCAAAAAGAACACATGCAAAAGAGACAGAACGTCTACCACATTATAATATACAACTTACTCGAATAAAATGCATCAGGAAGCCAAAATTGGCCCGAATAGAGCGCATGGCTATATATTGGTCCCGAAGCCTTCAACATCTGACGACAACCGCGGGAACGCTTGACGAAGTTACCAAACAGTATGATCCGACCAGCAACGATACGTTCGCAATGTATGAAGATAATAAACAAAAGATTTGACTCACTATATGGTGGTCTGTCCAAAGGTCGAATGACGTTCGGGCAAAGCCAAGGATCTGAGAGGCTACACTTGATGTAATTTGAACACAAAGATGCTCGAAGGCCTTCGATCCGCTAGAGGTGAAAAGAAGAAGTAGCATGGGCTCAAGATGAAATGCAGGATTCATACACACACACAGACATACACACAGACATGCACACAGACACGCACACATTCGTATGGCGACTAAAGTTGCCCCAAATTCGACTATAATAGGTCAACGTTCGGGTGAAGGATGGGTAAAACAATCATATAACCATAACAAATAAATAAGTAAAACACCGTACAAAGACTGGTAACTCCCTGTTGGGAATGAGAAATATGTGGAATCGCTCTTACCAATCCTTAAGGATGTGTAAAGCAATTAAGAAAAGCAAAAGAAAGTAATTGGTCAAGCTAACAGTACGAGAGAATTGAAGCACATAATACGAAACGACACCTTACATACAACATTGTGACATACAGATTGATTAATCAATCAATCCGCATTGTGATAATGTTGTATCTAAACTCAAAGTTGCGCCAAATATAGCTTCAGCAACCGTGCATTATTTTTGGCATAAGTTTATTGCTGCATTGAAAAAAAAAACTTCTTCCCTCTCTTTTTTTTTTTCTCTCTTTCTCTCTCTCTATCAAAAAAAAAAGAATGTATGCTCTTAGGGCTGCATTCTCCA